GATTATAAACGTTTCTAAAATTTCTTTATTGTCAAATCTTAAGATTCACGTCTTGGCCAATGCAATGTATATGATTTCGCCTATCCAAGGAGGATATAAGATCTGCTTAGCGAGTCAATTGTAACTTGCACACTAACCACCATTACATGTAACACGAGGCAAGTCTAATTTGAAAACCCACCACCACCCCTTCGATCCTTTCCCTCTGTTTATGATTAATATTATATATCTACCATTTGTTTTTACTTGCCATCTTTTTGCTAACTTATTTCCCTACGTAATTCTACGAAATTGAATTTTTTGTGATCGTTATAGTCAGCTCGGAGGCGTGCTTTCTCATTCAATCATTCTGTCGAATACTGTCACAGTTTGTGCTAGCTGTATGAGTTTATTTTATTGTTTACTTAACCGATGGTGTTAGTGGTAGACGTGCGCGGGTCATAAACACGTGCAAATATTTCACTGCTCATGTGGAGCATATTTTTCAGATGAATGGATTTTGAATTGTGTTTTGGACTGGCATTCTTTCGTAGATTTGAAGGACAGAGGTTATCACATACACACGAAATGCGTGTGATTATTGGTGTAATGTTCTTATTTATTTTTCATTTTTCCTGAAAACATATTTTCAACACATATTTTGAAAATAATATGTGTCTGAATTTAATAACGATTTTTTGGCGAGGAGTTGTGATATTATTCACCATTGGCAGTGTCTGCGGGATTGTGTTGATGGAAAACTAATAAGCAGCTTGAGATCATGAAGAAGTCTTTGTCAATGATTCACTTTTGGAGCCACATATGTTTTCAGGAAGAACTTGAGCTCAAGGGAGTAGGTCCAGATGATGTACATCTGTGCAGCACCCCCCCCCCCACCCACCCACCCACCCTCCGCACGACTAGCCCATGCGTAAGTTTGTTCGATGTTTAAGGAATGCTGATATTAAGTCACAACGGATCCTCTCAACATGTATTATAATCTAATACTCTCAGTATATTTGTAATACATTTGCTATCAAGTTTAGTCTATAGAAGGAAGTTTATTCTTTCTGTTTAATGCTGTTGTATTTTTCATTGATGAGCATCATAATGTATAACTTTGTTTGCTACTCAGTGGTTGACTTGTGGCGTCCTTTCTACAAAAAATTCATATAATTTTATTTTTAAGTTGCAGATACCTTTTGCAAAGAATATGCAAGGGAGTAAATTTGATACATGCTAGCAGTCCAGTGTAGAGAGAACATGGCTTTATCATTAATAGCCCAGAGAGCATTGCAGAGTTGTGCCATATGCAAGGAATTTAATGTCAATGAATTATATGTTCATTGATTACACTAAAACGCTTAAGAAATATTGACTTAGCCAGAGGCTTATCTAACAAATAGCATTAGATCCACATCTACACGCTTACAATATAATCGCAGCAGTGCTGCCACCAGTTGATAATGTCATAAACCAGCGAATAAATCGGATGCCCCAAAACTGTTGGTTTGAGCATCCATACCATTCAAATCACTAGAGTTGATTTCTTATAGGTGCAGCAAGCACGTTATATATGTAGGTCCAATCTGCTCTGATCAACGGTGCCCCAAGGAGTAAAAAGTATGTGGATCTGCTCTTACCTTGCTCTCCCACAAACGCTCCTAGCACATTTAATAAGAACAAATTGAATTAATTTCATTAGACATGAGCAATCAAGACTTCAGGGTAATTATGTTGATTCTACATAAAAATGATGTATATTTTGAAAAAAATAAAAGATGTCTTCCAATAGATAAAATATACCTGTGTAAGCTTATTCAGTAATAAAAACAAGTTTCCCTTGTTTTGATATACATGCATTGACGCCCTAGGAAGATACAAATTTGGGAATGGCAAAATCAGTGCAGATACCCTCGGAAAAGCCAGCTCACAATCGTATCGTTGAACAAAGGTCCCTAACTTTAAACAATAAATAAGCATTGAAGAACATTTTAAAATGAACCTAAGTGATATGTAACTTGCAATTGAAATTATCTCAGTCCAAAGCTTCAACAGTTTTAAGGTTCCTTAATCCGGATCTTGAACTGCATATCACATCTTGTGGCCAATTTTGTTTTGATGTGCCATCTTTTTACTAGCTTTTTCTTGAGATGATTTGTTTGTCTTGTCTTGTACGTACTTTTTCTTCTAGTTGTCTTTCGGGGGATCAGACATTATCATATTTTACGTTACTTACAATCATGGCTTGTGGTTCTGATTCATTTCTTGCTTGTTAAATTGTTTACATTTATACCATCATTTAAATAATTGATATTTTTCATCTCTAACAATGTGTTTTACCTGATTTGAACAAATTTAACAAAACAAGCTGCGGTGAGCTTGTCAACCATTAGAAGACATAAATAAAAGTAAATATTAAACAAGGCAAACAAGGCATCACAAGAAAAAGATGGCACATCAAAACGAAATGGGCAACAAAATGTGATATTAAAGTCACAATAGTTATGTTTATACACAATAAAATATTGTTTAAATTAAGACATAAATATTATTTACAACAATTACCATATTTATCCTGAATTTGAAAAATATATATACACATCACTTTTCGTAATTTCATTTTCTTCTTTATAAAGAAAAATTAAGGCAATTTATTATACCTCTACTAATTTTTCCTATATAATAATTAGATAGTAAAGTTTGAATAATTCACTTGAAATCACGGTGAATTGACTTATCCCCTGGAGTTAGTCAAATGAGCTAATCTAAGCTTCGGAAGCTCATTTCCGGATATTCGTAAGATTTCACTTTTGTATTGGTATAGTAAGTTAATAGACTAATCTCCACGTGTTAGTCAAGTGAGCAAATCCCTGCTCCAGAAGCTAATTCCCAGTCATTCATAATCCTTATTTATAACTTTTGTATCGATTAATAAAACAATTAAAAGTACATCATTCTAGGAGTATGCAAGATTCCAGTTTTTCTCGACCAGGATTATTTCATATAAAGATGAATAAAATGGAAATTGTTGATTGAAAAGTTTTCATTTTCAAGCCTCTTATTGATTCTTTTTAAATAAAATATTATATTTGGAGTTATCCTTCCTGGCTGAGGATCGGATATCCTTAATTCTACTAGTGGTAAATACATGTGCAAGTATTTACATATTTCAATAATTTAATTTTTTACTTGATTGTGCATTACATATTTTTCGATGACATAAAATTAAATATTTGCGTTAATCCTATAAAAATTACTTTTACCCTGTTAAAACATCATTAAAGTTGATTTGCAATTATTAGCAGGATCTTGCACAAAGTTGTACCGACTTATATGCTGATCAATCGCAAAATCCTCGAAAATAATCTCGAACAATTACAATGGACGTATGGGCCGCTTAAATACGAGTTTAAACGGAAATCTAAAGTTGAAATTAAAATGATGCTAAGCCTTGCAGTTGTGTTAATAATTGACAGTATTGTTGTAAAATTGTTAGGCTATTATTTACACACTGAATTGTTGACGAATTTTCGTTATTTCCCTATAATGAGAAGGAACACACAGTGTATGTGACCAATGGACAAGAGATGCTCAATCCTCCTTGGCACCTCATCCCACCTTTTCTGTGCTGGAGGTTAATGTTTGCTCTGCTCCTATTTTCTATGTTTGAGCGCCTGACTAATGTTTGTAATCTCCATATATTCCATTGTAAGAAAAAAACTATCACCTGATGTTCATTTATTTCACAGTACTCCCTAAGAGGGACTATTGAAGATAACATGATCACGCCATCCCCTAATTGTTATATATTTTATTTTCGCTCACGAGCACCTAATGCACAAATGATCTCTTTTTTATCAGAATTGTCCGTTGTCTGGCCTCCTCCTTGATGTTGCTATGTGGTACATCATTCACTTTTCGTAATTTCATTTTCTTCTTTATAAAGAAAAATTAAGACAATTTATTTTACCTCTACTGATTTTTCCTATAAAATAATTAGTTAGTAAAATTTGAATAATTCACTAGAAATCACAGTGAATGCCCTGGCGTTAGTCCAATGAGCTAATCCCCACGTGTTGGTCAAAAGAGCAATCCCTGCTCCGGACCAGAGGCTAAGTGCGATTCATTCATAATCCTTATTTATAACTTGTGTATCGATTAATAAAACCGTTATTTATAAAAGTACATCATTCTGGGAGTAAGCAAGATTCCAGTTTTTCTCGACCAGGATTACTTCCCTCGGCTCCGCCTCGAGAAATAATCCTGGCCTCGGGGAACTGAAATTTGGCTCTCTCAATGATATACGATGACTGTATATTAAATTAAACTATTTAGAGTGAGTTCTGTTAAAAATCATCAAGTTTGTTCAAATAAAAGGCTATGGGATGGGTCGGGGCAAGAAAAGAGACACTTCATTATCGTCATGATAAGGATTTAAAAGTAATTTAAAGGAGTTAATTTGGAGAAACTTGCCACAAAATGAACCATTATAAAATTCCACTTTAAATGAGCGAAATAATTTTTAATCTCTCTCTCTTTTTTCTCTCAGCAACAATACCATTTACTTCGTATACTTCTTTCGTAAATAAATCTTAATAGACAATCATATAAAAACCTTTTTTTCACATATTTCCTCTTTTTTTAAAAACCATGCGAAAAAAGTAATTTTTTGACACATTCAATCTTTTTTGTGTATTGCTAAATATTAATATTTTAAAGAAAAAAATATACATGATTACCATAGAAACATTATTTTCTTTCAAAATAATTATCAATGTAGAACGATTCATTTATGATATAAAACAAAACGAAAGTAAATTGATCACATGTTGATAAAAGAAGCACAGTAAACATATGAAGATAAGTGCTGTTTTCCTGGTAATCTGACGGTGCATTAATATGTTGGCATAATGTTTACTCATGTGTTAATCAGTTGAGTTAACTCCATTTTTGACTTTGTGAAGAGATATAAAATCAAGTGTTAAAGTTTACTTCGTATTTACAGATTCAGCACGAAAGTATAAACATGTAGAAGTTTCCTCTCGAACATTTCTAATTAGCTAATATTTAAATTGATCATGGCTGAACCGAATCCACTGCTACCTAAAGTATCATGGAGGGAGGAGGATAGTGCCATTCTTACGGCTGGTTTCTCTCTAAAGTACAACGCCTTTTCAGATTTGTTCAAGATAATTTCAGTTGACAAACAAAATGAAATACAAACGAGAACGAAGGCCCGTATAATAATAAGTAACTTTGAACGAGAAGAAAGAAACTATTTTCTGCTGTTCAAACCTTCACAGTATGCAGTGTCCAAAGGAGATACAGCTTTCACGGCTTTCGAGAGAGATCTTAAGCAAATAAAAGATTTTTCATTTTTTCCAACTCTTCGAGAAGTTTATGCAGCTGCTGAAATCTTACAGAAAACCATATGTTTGATTACATTGCAAAGCGGCACAACACAGTTTAAAGGGATAAATATTCATCCTTTTCTTCATGAGGATGAAGAAGATCCGAAAACCATCGTCATTGTTTTGAAGTTTTTCGAAGGTGGTGTATATTTCCAAGAAGTAAACTGGCCCAAAGAACGCCCATTAGAGACGTCACCTTTCAATGTTATAAATAAAGATCATAAAAATTGCCTGGACAGAAGATTCTGCAACAGCTTTGACGTCCTAAAAGATGACTTTAACTTCAATTTCCTCTGCAATGGGACAGACGTCACTGTACAAGTTGAAGACGGTTTGACGTTTTTTGAAGTTCTCGGCGATGTTTGTTACGCAGATAAAGCTGCCAATTTCTTTGTTAGAGAAATAGTTGGTGCTCATCAGTCAGATCCCGGTTATAAGGAGTTATATATCCGATTAATGGATACAAATACAGACATATATCTAAAAGAGGAGGAAATTCAACGCGTTAATGATGAAAGAGATTCAAGGAAAAGGGAAAAGTTAGAAGAACAAAATCGTGCAAAAGCTCATAAGAAACATTTAAAGGAATGGAAAGTTTTTGGAAAAGGGGACAGTTTTGCCGTTGCTAGTTTATATTACATTGAGTTGTATGTCTCCGATGGAAGCAGACATGATATATTTCATCCTATCTGTACATCGGTTGACACTGTTTTCAAATCGTCGCTTTTTGTGCAGAGAACAAGAGGTTTGAATTCGATAGGGAAATACAGCGGAGTTTCTTGTAGAAGTGAAAAACCCGAAGTGATGGGGAACTTCCCTTTGATTTTAGGAAAGAAGGAGGAATATATCTTTAATCAGCTTAGTGAGTATTTTTTTTTATTTTTTAAAGAAAATATATATAAATACATATAGATACTTCTCATACATTTTTTAATTTTGTCTTTTCAAAGAGAATTCACCATATATTTGCTGTCCACCAGAAGGTCGACAATTCAATAATGCGCACAAACACTTAAAAGATATCAAAGAATCTAAAACAAAATTGGACGAAATACAACCATTTCCGACAATTAAGACAGTACTTCAAGCAGCAATAAGCACCTGCCTTGAAATGGAAGGAAGGCGGATTGACCACATAGAAAACGGAACACTAGAACAATGTCTCAGCAAGGAAATCTATGGCTCGCAAAGTCAAGAATGTATTGAAAAGTTTCGGTATGATGTAGTTGGTTTGAAATGCAAATTTTCAATCATATCAATTAAATCCTATAAGGACAAATGATACAAACAAAAAAATGGATGCCTGGATTGGTATATATTTTTAACCTAATGATGCAAATAATAAATTTCTAGAATATAAAGAAATTGTAAACCTTCTGTGATGTTCAAAAGTGTGTCCTTCTTAAACTATACAAATATTTTTCTACTTTAAATTCCATTTTTGTGCAAATTTAAATTAAAAAAAATAAAAACTACGCGGTGAAAGTTATTCATTTTATTCTTAAAACATGACCCAAGTTGTTATTTTCAAATTCTTTGACAAAAGTTTGTTTGTATCATCTGTCCTTAAAAAACGTAAAATAAAAGTAGGTTGAGGATATTTCTCCTTCCTAATGAAAAAAATAGTATTCGTTTAAACATTATCTGTCTTAGCCATCTGCTAGTTATCCGATAAGCAAAGATTTAACATTTCAACTGTTTACAGTTCACTGCTTTTTTGAGTTAATATGGTATGCAATGATCGCATGGAGAGAACGATCATAGGCATTTATGCCTGCTGTTCAATCCATTTCTTTATATGAATAAAATATATTTTAAACTAATGATCGCAACTTTTGAGAAATATTACATAAACAGCTTATGCAGTATTTGTATTTTTTCTTCTGCCAGTCCTGCTACTAATAATATCTGTAATTATGTTATATTATTCGTAGGGTAAATGTCGCTGATATATCGAAGGATGAAGATCCTGAGAAGAGTTTGGAAAAAGTTTGTGACGAAATAAAAATTCCGATATACGTTCTTCCTTTCAAAAACAGAATAAAATATAGTTGGAAGCGGTATGTTCCTGCCAGCTTGCAATCACCCAAAGGAAAACAGTGTACATTTTATATCACCTTACTTCAGGTAGAAATAGGGGGCCATATTTGGTTTGAGAGAATCGTTCCAGTCAAAGGATGTAATTGCAGTAATTTTTCGCCGGAAGTTGCAAATTTACGAAAAGAAGGTAATAATGCAGGTATTTATTCTAGACTAAAAGTTCATGTACATAGGTATAAAAAAATAAATTTAAGAACTGTAATTAAAAAGTAATAGAAAATAAAAGATTAGATTCAATCTGTTTCTGAATGTGTTTTAGGACCAGGGTTGGAGGAGTAAATAGTAATATGGTTCACGTTCGAACTACAATTAGATTGTTTAAATATTTTCTCTTTGCTTCAAGATCAGAGCTTAACTGGAAAACTTCACATTGATAGAGACAAAAGACATGCCCCACTTGTCAGCTTTCTGACGGATGATCCGAAAATGGATTTATTTACACATGAGAAGCGACAGTATCCACTTTTTACAAAGTTTTCTGAAACACGCTCGATTCTGGATCGACCAGATATGAGAGACAGAATGATTGAAGCTAATGTTGATAGCTTCTATTCCCTGTATAGATGTTTCAGTAAGGAAATCTTTGGAACCGAAAATCATTATGAATTGATAAGGAATGAGGTACTTTATGAAATACTTAGCAATCCCAGTATATACGCTAATTATTTCCGCGATCACCGGCAATCACTTTATAAGGAAGAATTGGACGAGTTCTTGGATAACATTCGCTTTCCCAAACACTCATTTCTTGACAAATTAAAACCTCGAAGTATACTAGAGAAAAACGATGTCATATTTTTTTCGAATCGCATTGAAGATGGTTTGGAATTAGAAGAACTAGAGCTCTTTGCCATTGCAACGTGCTTTCAATGCAGCATTTATGTTGTATCTATTTCAAGGAAAGACACAGAAAAAGACGAATTTTCAAGATGGAGAAAAATTGAAAAACTGCGGGTAAAACCTCAGCCTTTGGGTTTTGAAAATAGGATATTTCAAAGTCGATGTCAAAATACAATGGAACATTATGTTACTCTATTCCAGACATGTGCTGGTATTTATCACAGAGTCGTAGGGAATAACGAGTCTATCGTATGCAATTGTTTGCAAGAGCCACCAACAGTTCCTTCAATGATTAGAAGAGATGATTTTATCAAGAGAAAAGGTGTGCATGTATTTTTCTTATTTATTTTTAATTAAATTCTAAAAGAAAAATTGTTTTTAAAGAAAAACGTAACATGAATGAGAAAAAAGCAAAGCAAAATTCAAATCACAACATATAAGTTCAAACTCACAGATCATGGTTTTTAAAATGTTGAACTTCCTTTTTACTTCTGTTGGTTCTAGATTTTGACATTGGAATCATTCGAGTTTATCAGGAGATTGACAGTCAACTTTACAAGACACAACAAAGATTTGAATTTTGGATAAGATGTAACGTAATTTTCGAAAAGTTTTGCGCAGATTCCATCAATCTTCTGGAAGGAAGAAGGAAGAAAAGCAATATTGCCAGTATTACAGGGTCATCTGTTGGTTTGATGGGGGGTGCACTAGCAGTTGCAGGAATTCTCGCTGCTCCATTCACGGCGGGGGCATCTTTTGGCCTTGTAGTAGCTGGCGGGGTAGTTTCTGGTCTCGGGAGTTTTACATCTGTGATTTCGAAACTCACAGAGTTAGGCTTAAATAGAAAGGAATCAAATTTATCCGAACGGCTACAAATGAATATGAGAGAACACTCAAGACGTCTAGAAAATGAAACACAGAAACTTGAAGAAATTATGGCAAGGTTGGATGAAATTATAAATTCGAGGAGAGGTATTACAGATAATTTATCAAAGGCAGATTCCGTACGTTTGTCGGCCGTTTACCTGAGATCTGTTAGTGGATTAGCCTCATTACCAATAGCAGTATTAAGAGCTTTATCACGAGCTGTTGTCGCTGCAGAGGCCGTCTTTATTCCAGTGTCTGTGTTACTAGATGGTGTTATTTTAGTGCTAGCGGCGCGAAACTTACACAAAGGGTCTATTACTGGAAAATCAAAGGAGCTTAGGGTATTGCGAAACTTTCTAAAACTTACACGAATTCAGATGCAAATTTGGGCATTCGGTAGTGATACCAGACAGTACATGTACGAATGCAAGGTATATGTGTAACTATTGCTGACACATTTGAATATTTTTGTCATTAAATCAGTATTCCACTTTTTGATTTACAATTTATGTCATCATGTTCATTGATTGACAAAAAATGACAAAATTTGTAAGAAAGATTTTTTTTTTATTTCAGGATGCTGTTTGATTCTCTCTTCGGCATTGAAGAGTTGGGGCCATTCAAAGAGGGTTTCTCCAAAAAAAATGAAATTTACTACCATTAACGTTAATGCAAAATCCACAATTTACGTTACTATTCCGAACTTTTGGAGTGACGTTAGCATAAACACACCTCGTCTAATGAGAGTTTCATATTATCAATGAATTTGTTTCATTGTATAGTGTTACTTGATAATCAGTGATGAAATAAATAAAGAATTAAAATTTGATGTTTGTCCTTGACTGCATATTTACAGATACCAGTTTAAAGGAAAATTCAGTTGAACATGTACATTCATCTGATTATCTCGGACATATAATTTTCAGTTGTCTCGAGCAGAGAGAAAAATCTTAAAATAATTAATATATGCACTATTTTTTCATATCGTAGTGTCATACTTTCTTTGACATTCAAAAGTGTCTACACAGGAAATAGCATACATGTATAAAATTAAGAAATATGATTGATAACTAATAATTTGTCATTTAGAAACCCTCATAACACATATTACATTTAATCATAACATCCGCCCGCAGAAAATATATAAAGTTGTAAAACAATTTTACATGAACTTAATAAATGAAAATTAATATTTTCAAAAATGAAAATGAGGATAAGAAAGGAAAAAAAAAACAAGTGTCACATACAATTTACACATGAGTTAAAACTCAAAGCAATACTGTCGTACTTGCGCTTATCATTAAGCTGTACATTAGATACATAATTATACTAAATTTGTAACTAAAGCAAAAATCAGATCATAACTGAAAAGTTTACCGAGGGGGGGGGGGGCTTGAATTTTAATAAACTTGAGAATGCCTTGATATTAATACAGCATATGACTTTGCAATATATGAGGATGCTTACATGTCAATATGACTAAACATAGCTTTTCTGTTCTTGAGATTTTCCCTTTTATTTTTCTATGTAAAAACTATCCACCATTGTGGCCCCATCCTACCCTTTGGGGTTATGATTTGAACAAATTTAATTCTACACTACCTGAAACTGCTTCCATATAAATACTAGTATCACTTATCATGGCTTTACTATTCTTGAGAGTAATATATTTGAAACATATTTCAATGTAAAATGATCCCATATAAGTATAACTAATCATGGCTTTGAAGTCCTTGTGAAGAAGATTTAAAAGTTTTTCCCTAGTAAGTCCTATGTAAAACTTTGATCAACTATTTTGTCCTACGATACCCCCGAGGGTCATGATTTGAAAAAAACTGGAATCTACACTATCTGAGGATGATTTCACATGAGTTTCATATTTCCTGTCTCAATGGATCTTGAGAAGATTTTTAAAAGATTTTTCCTATTTTTCCTATATATTTCTATATAAAATTTTGATCGGCCATTGTGGCCCCACTCTATCCCCGCGGGTCATGATTTGAACAAACTTGAATATACACTACCTGTGGATGATTCCACATGAGGTTTATCTTTCCTAGCCCAGTGGTTCTTGAGAGGAAGATTTTTAAAGATTTTTCCTATATATTCCTATGTTAAACTGTGCCATTGTAACCCATCCTACCCCCGTGGGTCATGATTTGAACAAACTTGAATCTACACTACCTGAGGATGGTTCCACATAATTACTTGTCAAGTGGTTCTTCAGAAGATATTTTTTACTACGTCATAATTATCTCCCCTGGAAGAGGGCGTGGCCCTTCATTGTACCAAACTTGAATCCCATTCACCTAACGCTATTTTGTTGCAGGTTTGGTTGAAATTTTCCCAGTGGTGCTAGAGAAGAAGACGAAAATGTAAAAAGTTTTGGACGACGACAATGACGACGACGAAAGACAACGGACAAATTTTGATAAGAAAAGCCCACTAAACTTGAGCCTTCGGCTCAGATGAGCTAAAAATAGGTATAACCCATAATGACACAGTTGATTTTAATATAATATTCATCCATTATGTAAGTACCATGGTTCACAAAACAATTAGCAAGCATGAAAACATTGATATACAGCAGTTAAATAATAACTAAGATAAAAGATGACTTCGAAACAGCCACAAACACATACTAATAAATAGTAGAGAAGGATATGGAAATAACGAACAGTATTCAATCTCAACGTCATTAAACAATATACAAAATAAGAGCAGAGCAAACACGGACCTCCGAAACATCAGATGTGGGATCAGGTGCCATGGAGGAGTGAGCATCCCCTGTCGACCGGTCACACCCGCCGTGTGCTCGTTGTCATAATCAGGAAATAACTGAAAAAATCCGTCGTCAATTCAGTGTATAAATAATGGACTAGCAATTGGTATGAAAAACGTCAGTCAGCATATCATTTAATGATAAATTGTATTTGCTGACAAGGTCATTGTATCGACCATAGAATTTACGAAATGATAACTTTAAACGAGACTGTTGATATTATTGTTTCATCAACTTGCTTGTCAATAATTTACCTCGTTTAAGAAATTGTTCATACGTAGAGCATGCTCTTGCGTATCGAATCAACTGAGATATATATACTCCGTATGCAGGTGATGAAGGTATATTGCTGCATAAGTAAGGGAAGTTGACGATAGAAAAGTTAAAGTCATCACGTTTATCATATAGCTTGGTTGTTAGATTACCATTAGTGTCTTTTGCAAGTAAAATATCCAAGTATGAAGCAGAAGTGTCGGACTCTGTGGTATCCTTTATCTCAAGCTCACCAGGATATATCGTGTCGACGTAGGAATGGAATGGAAATTATCATTATTAATTGACAATACGTCGTCGATATATCTAAATTTCGAGTTGAAGGCACAGCAAGTGTTTTCTTCATTTCACGCATAAGATTTTGCATACATTCTGCTTCATATGAATATAAAAATAAGTCTGCTAATAACGGAGCGCAATTTGTACCCATGGGAATTCCAATAGATTGTTGGAATACCTGGTCTCCAAAAACCACTCAAGCATCTTATTGATGTCAACTTCAGAGTACTTATGTGTGCAATCAGAATCTGTTTTAACAAAATAATTTTTCAAATGACCAATGACGAGGGAAGTTAATTTACGAGTTCCATTTTTGTTGAAGAAGCAGCTGTCAATGATATCAAAAAGCCTGGATTTTAATTTGTCGTGGGGAATTGTTGTGTATAAAGTTGAAAAGTCGTAAGTTTTAAAAATGTTGATTTTTGTAAAGTCTTGTGATTTCAAATTGTTCAAAAGTTCTTTAGAATTTTTAAGTATCCACATCTTATTTACACCACTTCTTGAATATATAGTTGTACAGTACTCTTGAAGTTTTTCCTTCACTACTGTCAATATTTTAGTGAGAAGTAACGAAAGAGGCTTGATTGAACATTTACTGGATCCTGCATGTATTTTTGTTTGTAAGGATTCTTATGAAGGTTCAGAATCCAATATATATAAGGTAGTTCAAATTCATTTTGGCTCTGTGGAATATTAAAAGTATTCAAAACTGGCAGGTGATTTTGAAGAATTTCTTCCTTAGAAAGAGAAGTATGAGTATAAGTAGGATTACCACTTGTAGAATTAAATCCAAGTTCTTCTAGAATGCAATTTATATAATGAGCCTTACAAACGAAGACAATGTTGTTACCTGCTTTGTCGGCAGGAACCAGTACGAACTGATCGTGTAATTTATCTAATTCTTTTTTTCACTTCTGGTTTATTGAACACAGAAGAATAGATGGTTTTCATTTTGCTTCCTCGCGTAGTCGGTCACACGACTTAATTAGATTATCTCAACACCACGAGATGAGCTCCTGTAGTGAAATAACTAAAGAAAATTACCTTCTCGGACAAAAGTTCTTCGTCCAATTTCCATGTAAATCACAAATCACTGGAATAGCGCTTATCTCAAAAGCAATCATAATTTTTTTTAAATCTAACAAGGCGCCACAATGAAAAAAAACAAAACATTTAACAATTATAAGACAATTATATGTACACTCATTTTTACAAAAAGGGATCATGCCTCATATAAAGCATGTCATCGCTATATATATGCAACACTCATAACATTGGTTCCCTACTTTCAAGCTGTATAATATAACAAAATTGCAAAATGAACGACATATGACCTCATGATCAAAATACGTAGCAATTCCAGGCCTCGTTACGTCTCAGAATTATACAAACTATCTCAGAATAACTTGAGCAAAATATACACGCATACTTCGCAGTTATGATAAGGCTGTCCGAAGGCTTAAAATGTATTAAAAATATACATTTTATTTTGAGCTTGATTTTAATTTCAATATGTGATCCTTGTTTGAAATTGCAGTCAACTTGAGATAACAGTTTAATCAGGTATTATAATAAAGCATTTCTGTGATGTCAGATGACTGTGTTGATCACGTGACGGATATTTTTGATATTCTTAAATGTTGCACAAAAATCACCTCGGCACAAGTGCAAAACGAAAATATTGTGCAAAGTTTGTTACATAGATCATTTTATCGTCATCCCTGGTACATAAAAAGTGCTGGGGGCAGGTTTCATTTTTACTTCTTGAGAAAATATTTTACGATAAATTAAAAATGCCAATGTAAAGAGGGGTATTTTCCACACTTTATCGCGATTTATACAAAAACGGATAAACTACGTACGATCCCCCAGCAAAATTCAATTAGAAAACATACTTCTCTTTTAGATTCACGCAGAATATCTTCAATTTATCCTTGTCTTTCACTTGTGCCAGTCCAATATAAACACGATTCATAAATTCTAACTCTGTCTACGGAAGTGTAAGGGGAGCATTTCAAACATAATCTTTTGCTATTGCTTGAATATATGCATATCGGACAAGCAAAAGGAATAGAGACATTTAAACATAAAATGTTAAACATTAAAACAGCACACACAAGCTTAAAAAACAACCTTTACTCTTGAATTAAACACAAATCCCCATAATAAATCTACATGCCGTGTAATAATTATGACACTTTCCCCGTCATGTCAGCTCAAGTATGCAGTGACTTGACGTCATATTCTATTATGACGTCATATCTAGGTAGTTCAGAGAAGTAACTACAGTTTGAACAGTTTGATATTTAACGGGCAGCCTTATCCTAGCTGCGTTGTGCATGTATCTTAATTAAAAATAAAACTACTTTCATGAAACTGTAAGGAATATACAGGTCTTTATGAAAAGT